GTGGCGGCACTGGGAGGGGGCTACGTGGGGAGGCTGCAGCCACCCCAGATTTCCCCGCAGCCACACCACTCCTCACTGCCTGCATGCTGCACTGAGGCTGCGCACATGCACGGGCATTTATCAGCCAAATTATCAGCTGCATCGGGCCAATTTCCAATGCAGCCAATGTTCTTTGTATCGGTGCCGATCTGATATCAGACCAACGTATCAGTGCACCTCTAAACAGAAGGCAACTGTCATTCAATACAACAGGCAAAGGCCACTCCTGGAGTGACCCCAATGAAGTCAAGTTCAATTTGGTCAAATATAAGAGAAATTTAAACGTCACGAAAATATGCCTCGTAAGGATTTTACAAAGGTCAGGAAACGTTGTTACTAGGTTTTTCAGTATTTTCCTTGCTTCTGTTCACCAATTCATTTCTGGACCTCGGCCATCACGCAAAAGCATCTAGGCATCACTCTGTCCAAGTAAGACGGTGCCCTTCAGCTGAGTCTCATGCACTAAGCTTATTAACAGGAAGGGATGGCTGTTAGCACCTTTTGTTTTCTAAAATGAGATTCATGGTGTTTTAAAGACTCCTACACACATTAAAGAACTTAAAAATCTAATGCCTGATAGAAAAAGTTATTAATAGGAATGTTTGCCTGAAAAAATGAATGCTTTAAAAAAACCAAAATCACCTGCTTTGACTTATTTCCTTGTCTGAGGTCAGTATGTCATGGCATCACACTTGTGGAAATGAACAAAACGTTACTCACGGGTCAGAGCTTCAGCTGGGAAGTTAGCAGCAGAAAAAGTAAACCCCTGCTTAAAACAAAAATGAATGGACAACCGGATGTAGCCTTATGCCAAGTCCGATACAGGGAAAACTTTCTAACTGTAGAGCAGGTTGGCAGACTAATTCTCCACTTGAACATTTCTTAAAAGTTTCCCATGTGCTGTCAGCTGCTGTTGAATTCCACAGAAGAGGGAAACACTACAAATCATTGACCCTTGCAGACAAAACCAGGCATGCATCAATTGACCTCCTCCAAAGTATCCCTCACAGCAGCTGGCATCCTGACTTAGCAACAACTTGCGTCAATGCTTTGCGTCCATGGTGGGGGCTTCTAACTTTTAAAACCTTGCAGGCCCCACAGAGTGCTCAACGTTGCTGCTGATAGCAATTCCTGGCAGGTGCATGAATGCTTTTGCGCTCTATTTTTGCAGAGGCACCAGTAGTATCTCCTTTGCACATATGCACATGTGCCAAGAGAAGGCATAGCTCAGTCTTAAAAAAAAAAACAAAAAAAACCCAAACCAGGCACATATTGAAATTGCAATAAAGAGTCCAGATGGAAAACGATGTTGGTGGCAATAGATAGCACTGTGGTTTCCTCCGGCACTCATAGAAGAGGACCGTATTTGACAAAGCAGCACTGCTTAAATTCAGATGACGTTTAGTGCGTGCATCCTCTCAAGATGCCCTATTTAATGATCACAAACAGTGCAGCTCATTAGTACTTTGACCTTTCATCTTAAACAAGTGTCTTTCTCTAACCCAACTGTTTACACAATTATATTGCGTTTGCCTTTAAAATAATGGATCACTCTACATTTTCCTAAGGAGCCCGGGTGGGTGGGTGTAGGTGTGGGGGAGGGAGGCAGGGGTTATAAAACAAAGCAGTAACAAGTAGGAAAAAAATACTCTGGCTCTAAGGGAAGTCAGCTGGCAAGGCTTTTAGAAACTCAAGCAAAAGCTACTGGAAAAAGCTTAGCTGTGTAGGACTCAACTAGGTCTTGATCGGCTTTCAAAAATCCATTTTCCTTTACACCCTACAGTGCTGAAACAGCTAACACTTTCTGCAGCTCTCCAGTAAACAGCTCAAAGAGAAGAGCAGACGCTTAAGCATTTTAATGGTGTGCCTTGAAGAGCAGGAAACTAGGCTACAAGGCAGCAGAGGGAGGATAAAACGCTAACCTCCTACACCTTGCTTGCCTATCTACGCTACACAAGCTAGTTGAAATGCTTGACGCTCACTGTCGCTTCTGAAATACCTGCTGAAGTATCACAGACTGTGCTAGGTGATCCGTCCCTTGCAAATGATGGCAGGATGTTGCACTGGTCTCCTTTAGAGCAACACCATCACTGACTTCTTGAACTTTTTACTTTCCCTTTTGGGGCACAGGAATGGGCATTTGATACTCTGGGAGATGGAGGGTTCAAACTGATGCAAGGCTAGAGGGAAATGGCAGGATAATAAAGTTGAATAGAAATTAAAGGGGAAAAAATAATCAAATTAAAGGGTTTCTG